ACAATGACAATCCATCTCCAACCTGTGCATGAATGGGGCCCTACTAGCAAAGAGAACATGTTCAATTAAAGGGAAGAAAGGACACAGCACTGTGGTGCTTGCCCTTAATCCCAGCACTCAGGAGGCAGAGGCAGAGGCAGAGGCAGAGGCAGAGGCAGAGAGGCAGAGAGGCAGAGGCAGAGGATCTCTGAATTTGAGGCTAGCCTGGTCTATGTGAGAAGTTTCAGGCCAGCAAGGCTACATAGTGAGACCCATCTGAAAAAATAAAAATAAGAAAGAATAAAAATAAGAATGAGGGCCAGAGAGCTAGCTTGGCTCAATTTTAAGGACCAGAGTTCAGATCCCACTGTGTGGCAGAATTCCCCCTGGGCTACCTGGTCTGGCTCCCAAGTGCTAGCACCAAGCCTTAATCCATCTTTTGTTTACCAGTTATCTTTTGTTTCTTGTTTCTTTTGTTGCTCTCTGTATGAATCTTGCCTGAGAGTTTCCCCAAGGGAAACTATGCAAAACTTGGTTGGGGGACAACTGCAGCACCTCCTTAATTGAAAGGATTTATACTTGGCATCATTCCTTCCTCAGGATGTTTTGAGGATATGGAAATCAATTTGCTAAAGTGTAAACTGGAGAACAATAAAAAAAGTCCTGGGAAAAAGAAAAGAGGCTCAGTACTTTGAGACAGATTCACCCTGCAACTGAGAAAAGTAATCAGTAATCTCAGGATGTATGGACGGCAGAGACTAGACTTGCTGAATCTGTAATCTTTGAGCTGGGTGCAGGGAAATCATAAGGGTTAGTGCACTTTACTAGTAACAATGAGGCTGTTCCCCTTAGACCTGAAGAGGATCCCTGGGATTTAGTGAGTAGAGGGGGTTCTGGAAATTTCTGTAGGCCAAAACACTTGTTTTTCCTAAGAATTTGGAAATGAGGGTAGCCCCTAAGATTTAGAAAAACTATACCTAGAGCATATAATAAATCCAAGTTGGCTGTGTGTGACTGGAGTGTTTGAATGCAAAGTAAAGACGATATAGGAAGCAAGCTTGTTGTCACAGTTACTCAGGAAACAGAGGCAGGAGGACTACAAAAAGGTGTGCCTGGATTACAGAGCCTTCATTATGTGCAAGTTGGAGGGGCAGACTGGACCACTTGAGACCTTGTCACAAAAACAAAGCTGGGTATTATGGTACATTCCTGCATCCCAAGCACTTGGAAACAAAGGCAGGAGAACATTGCAATTTGTAGCTTAGCTTTGTCTCATAGTGAGACCCTGCCTCAAAAAGAAAGGAAGGGAGGGAGGGAAGGAAGAGAGGAAGAAGGGAAAGGAAAGAAAGGAAAGAAGGAAAAGAAAGAAGAGTGCACAAACTCTAGAATCTGGGTAGTTTTACTCAGGGAAAAACAGCTGTAAAGCAAAATGAATTTTCACATCAGTAGGTCAAGAGTTGGGATTGCTCCTTGGGAAGCTCAGTGGCCAGGATAGCCCACGACACACACACACACACACACACACACACACACACACGTCCCCATCCCCCACCCCTGCCATACTGTAGCATGAATAATAAAAACCTAGAGACAGATAATGTTTAAGCTGAAGATCAGAAAAGCAAAGCAGCCAAGCTGCTAGAGAGTTCTTACCTCTACCAAGGCTAAGACCAAAGGGGGTGGGGGGTGGGGACACTATCCTGTCCTCGGAGGACTGCCGACTGTAATGTTCTCCATCAAACATCAGACTGCACCAAGACTGCACTGAGCTCCTGCCTTATAATGTCCCTGGTGCTGGCATCAAAGGTATGAGCTCTGTTTCTCTTTTAGACTGATTAACTCTCATGTAGCCCAGGGTGGCCTTGAACTCACAGATATCCATCTGCCTTTGTCTCCCAAGTGCTGGAATTAAACGTTTGGCCACCACTGCCTGTCTGTCTTCTATGGCTAACTAGTGGCTTACCTCTAAAACACGTGTGTGGTTAGTTAGCATTCTGTTCTTCAGGCAAACTTTAGTTGTTAGGTTATAAACAATATATAACTACACATATGAAGAGCCTTGACTCTAAAGACTCCCAGCTGCTTTCTTTTGTTTGTTTTGAAAGGGTCCTGCTATGTATGTAGCCCTAGCTGGACTTTTCTAGAACTTCCTAGATAGACCAGGCTGGCCTCAAACTTGTAAAACCTTCCCACCTCCGCCGGAGACATTCCTCTCCCTGCTTGAGAGTCTCTTCTTGTTCACAGACCTTTCTCCTAGTTGAGCCTAACAATAACAACTATTTCTTTAGTGGTTGCTGGGTACTAGGTACTGTTGTAGAAACTTCCTTCCATACAGTTGCTAGGCTTTCTGAAGTATAGGCCTATCCTACCTGCCCCTGTCTCCCAAGTTCTAGGATAAATGTGTCTACCACCACACCCAGCTATTTTTTTGTTTGTTTGTTTTAGATTTATTTATTTATTACATATACACTGTTCTACCTGCATGCCAGAAGAGGGCACTAGATTGAATTGTAGATGGTTGTGAGCCACCATGTGGTTGCCGGGAATTGAACTCAGGACCTCTGGAAGAGCAGTCAGTGCTCTTAACCTCTGAGCCATTTCTCCAGCCCCCAGCTAGTTTTTTTGTTGTTGTTTTGTTTGAGAAAGGGTTTCACACTGTAGTCCAGCCTCCAACTCATGGTAGTTCTGTTTCAGCTCCTGCCCAGTTTTTAACTTGGTAAGATCTCGATTTGTGTCCCAGGCTGGCCTGGCACTCACTATGATGGCCACAAACTTAGGATCCTCTCCTCCCATGTGTGTCACCACGACCAGCTATTAGTAATCTTCAGAGAGTCAAATCCAGATTGTACCAATGAAAACGAGTTTTGAAGCCAGAGGTCTGGGAATCATGTCCCTCAAAACAGCCAAAGGTCCCAATTTTAGCAGCACTAATTTAAACTAGTAGGAAACTCTAGCCAGGGGGCGGTAAACAAGGCTCCAGGGCTCAGAATTGAAAGAAGTCTGGGCTGAAGTCTTTGTGTAACCTCAGACGTCTCCGAGGAAAAGAGAAGGTCCTTGATATGTGTTCCACTCAGGCTAAGTGCCCTCCCATGCATTTTCCACAGCACTGGATACACTAGGCAGGAACATCTTGCCCACCTGTGCAGATACTTAACGCGCTTCCAAAAGGGAAGCACAGTTTTCTTACTTTGTTGTTTTTCCAGGGCTTGGCAAATTATTGGTACTCGGTTAATTTGTTGTTTGGAATATACAATTTAATGAATGAGACAGATTGGGTGAATTACAGACCAAAGGGGCACGGCAGGAATCCAACCATTGTGCTATTTGCTCCAGAATTTAGCACAATTCCTCTCCTAATCTGCTCACCGCGTTTTGCATAAATCGGTTCACCGCGTTTTGCATAAATTGGAGGGTCAAATCCTGGAAGCCTAGAGGCTATCTACCAGATTACTCCCTCTCCTTGGTGTTGCTGGCTGGAATTTAAGACTCAGTTCCAACGAAAGGAAAAGGCAACCCAGAACCCGCCTGTGCCTAAGTTCCTTGCCACTGCTGAAGTATACTCTTGCTCCCCACCCCCACCGAAGGAAGCTGCCCAAGGCAGGGGTGCTCCTGGCCCAATCAGGCTCGCAGCATCCGGTATCTCATGCGGGACACCAGGGTCGCACAGTTTGCTGCCTTCCCCTCTGAGAACAATCCCGTATCTGTGCTAGTCACCAGATTGATCAGAGCAAGCAAGGCGGGTAAGGAGGCTGGGAAAGGGGCCTCCGCAGGTCGCCTCCCCTGAAGCCGGCGCGGTTCTCCTAGCCCTTAGCTCCCTCCTTGCGACTCGGCGCTCGGCAAACTTTCGGAGTTTTCCTGCAATTGCGTCACGGAAAAGGCAGGCGGGTGATCGAGGCCAGGAGGCGAGGCCCCGCGGCGGCTGACGAGCTCCACCGCGCGGCGCTCCCACCGGGGCGAGAGGTGGCTTTCGGCACCGGCAACTCTGCTGCTGAAACCTTGCAGCTCCCCGACTCCCGGTGCACTTCCCGAATCCCAGCCACCCGGACTGAACCCGAGGGTGGGAGGGCGCCTGCCAGAAGGAAAGAGGACGGAGAGCGGGTGGTGGCACCCTGGCCTCGGGAGGGCGGAGCTGCGCGGTCCTTGCTCCAGGACGCGCGGAAGTGCTGTGGAGTTTGCCCAATTCCCTAGCCTGATTTCCCTCGCTCATACCTCCCTCCCTCTCTCTCTCTCTCTCTCTCTCCCCACCCCTCACCTCCCCTGCTGCTTTCTCCTCCTTCTTCGGGACGCCACCTCCTGGACTCCTTTTCCTTCTTTTTTATTTTTTTTATTTTTTTGTTTTGTTTTGGACCTGGCTTCCCGCTGGCAGCGCTGAGGAGTTGCAAGTGCGGTGGAAAGAGGCAAGAGACTAGGACTCAGCTCATCCCTCTCGGGCCGCATCCACAGGGCATCGCAGAGAACGAACCGCCGGCCGGCCGGACAAACAGCCGGTCGCGCCATCTATTCGACGGAACTCCATCTACCAACTACTGTTGAGTGTTTGCTGGCACACCAGTGGTGGTGGGGGGTGATGGTGGAGGTTTCCACTAGTGTTACTTCTGGACAGGGGTTCTAGGACTCCGATCAGGGTCAACTTAGGTACTCCGAAACTGCTGAGGAATTAAGCAAACAAAAGAGGCAGAGAGAGAGAGAGAGAGAGAGAGAGAGAGAGAGAGAGAGAGAGAGAGAGAGAGAGAGAGAGAGAGAGAGAGAGAGAGAGAGGGGG